TTCCGGAGAGTTTTACACTGGAATTAGTTACAGATGCAGTTACGGTGTCTTGTGTAAACGCCATCGATTGGGGAGCTGACAGTCTGGGGAGCTGCGATGCGGGACAATCAATCGGCCTGCAGTGTCACCTGCCACCTCGCTGAACAGTTGACAATGCAATTATCCAGTGTGGAGGCAGGGAGTTGGCGTGTGTCAAACGCACTTAGCCACTTTCCGGGCCTCCTCGATAACGCGTTTCACTGCCTCACGTCAGGAGAGACGCGTAGAGACAGACGCCGTTTAAAACCATTGATACCTGCTCCTGCTGCCTGCACTCCCTCTGTCCCAGCTTAACAATTGTGTTCCCAAAGGCGATTAAATCCCGTCATTCATCACAGAGGACAGAAGGTGCCCTGCTCCTGGCCACCTCTGCAACCCCTCCCACCAGGCAACAGTTGTAACTAAAGGTGGTAAGGAGTTAGAAGGCAGCAGCCCTAACCCTCTCCATTCCAAGACTGCCTCCAGCAGTTGGCTATTCCAACACCTGTTACTGACTGGACCAAGCAGCAGGGCTGTGCTGGGGGACATTTTTAGCACCCAGGGCTCCCATTCTTTAGAAACCAACATGTCAAAGGAGACAACAGCTAGGACAAGGCCTATTTCTCTATGCCCTTGGACTCATAATACCTCTCACCCCTTTGACTCATAACCTGGCTCTGAAATTTTATCAAGCAATAACTAGTTAAAAAAATCTGTACCTAAGCTGCCCTGCCTGTCTGCTCTATGGTACTTCATTCAGGCTACTTGGAACCAGCCTAAAGCTAAGACGGTCGAGAAAGATGCAGTTCCTCGGCCAGGATCTGGACAGGGCAAAGGCCCCGCACAGCTGGTTCTCTTAGTACCCTTTTTCCACCTGTTTGATTCAAAGGGGCTCAATGCTGGATTCTAGCAATGCATTGCCCTTCAGGGTTCAAAGATACAGCTGCAGCACCTTCCATTTCCTATGCAGCCTCCTGGGAAATTCCTCCACCTTGCCATTCATGTGCCCCCAATTATTGTCATCTTATCTGAAACCAACCATTCCGATGTCCTCTCTCCAGCCTGTCCATTTCAGTTACGATGAGCTACTGGTTCCTCAAAACTGAACTTTCCCTGGCAACCTATACAGGGGAGGGGTCAAAGCTCACCACCTTAAGCCTCTTCTCCAGAACCCAGGAGTTAGAGACAGGAAATGGGTAAAGGTGTGGCTCGCTCATCATATATCTCATTGACTACAGGTAGGAGTAGGTTTGCCCCAAGGGCTGTATGATTAGGTTTCCCTGTGGCCTGCTGCTCTAGCCAAGAAACCCCTTGCTCTGCCCAGTGCTGGCTTGGTGCCCAAAAGAATGTCTTTTTCTCCTCTAACTGCTGAGTTCTTTTAGGGGAACGTTGGTGAAGCACTAGGCTGTGTGCCACCCCGTATGCAATTATAACTCTGGGTGGGAAGAAACAGCAGCAGGAGGTTAGCAAACCCAAGAAGACAATCAGCAGCCCAGGACTTCTAAGACCAGAATGCCGGAGTGTTTCCTAGACACTGAAAGTTTCTTCCAACTTGCTCTCTTGACATCTTTACCTATTTTCCTTAGTCTCTTAAAGATCTATTTCCGGCTGGACGTATCTCGGTGCTTTCCTGCTCTGTCTGGTTCTTCATTTTGTCCTAAAATACCAATTCCCAGCACTCCCGGATCTGAGCTACCTGGGCCTCAGTAACCACAGGTCCTATCTCCAAGGCCTGCTCCCCTCAGCCAAGTGTCTCCACCAAAACTCCTGCTTGCCCACTGGCTCCATAGCTGATTACATTCCAGGTAACCTTGTTCCATCAGACCAGCCCCCAGTGGGCCTGGTGGGAAGCTTTACTGAGGATGACGAAGGGGCCCTGGTCTGGGAGGAGGGGTAGGGGATGATCAGATACAGGAACTTATCTGCAATTCTTCAATTCTTTCATATCTAACAAGGACAGCAATCTCTGTTCTGTCAGCAGGCACAGCACAGCTTAAATGGGCCTCACTGCTCGCCTGCTCATCCTGCTTTTGCTCCCTCTCTCTGAAGTCGGCTGGGCAGCTTCTTCAGCTGGCGTTATCACTCCCTCTAACCGGTCTTGGCAGGCAATCTAATTCCTCCTGAAAAGGTCACCGCCATTTTAACTGCCTTTCAATCACATTAAGCACGCGCTGCCCGGCTTGCTGCCCGGCCCGCCCGGCAGGCGATCAATGCGGTGCACTGACACCAGCCCGCCTGGCGGGGCCACACCCAACCCCCCAAGAGTTGGGGCCTATTGGTCCTGGTCAGGGAGGGTAGACTGACAGATGGTCAGCTTCTGTAGACAGGGTTTGGGGGCAGAGGCAGTCAGGATGAGCCAGGGCTTCCTTTGATAGCCCTCACCCCCCCCACTGAGGAGCCTCAGCCTCCTCTGCTCCACTGTGCCCAGCTCTCTGCCTTGTGGCCCCTGCTGATCTCACTGTAAAACAGCCTTTCAAGTCTGCCTGTCTTTTGACTGCACTAAGCTGTTTAAGAGACGGCAGCATCTTCTATCAGGAAAGCTGGAGCAATTCTCTGCAGATAAAGGCACCTCCGGCCCCTGTTCCCTCTTCAAGTCTCACTCTCATTCTCGCTCTCCAAATCGCTCAAAGAAAAGCCCCCTTTGAACTCCCCTCAGGAATTCTTGAAAGGAGCAACCTCACAGTGTAAACACTCAGGGAAAACTGACACCCGCCCAGGGCCTAAGTGCCCCTCAGACCCGCTCTGTAAGTGCATCCCAGCACAGGGGAACTACTTTGTCAAATCATCAGGCCCTATGCAGCTTTATCCCCTTAAGCCCTGTCTGGTGCCCAGAAGCCATCAGGTCCAGTTCTGTGCCAAGAAACCTGACTAAGAAGTTGCCACAGCAATGGAAGATGTGAATATTTGTAGCAGCCAACAGAGTGAACTCAGAGCAGCATCGTGGAACTGACCCTGCACGGGCCACCACCTGTGTACAGTTCACAGGATCTTGTGCTTTGCTGCTCATCCTCTAGGGCAGGACCGGAGTGAAATGTCAAATGAACATTCCCTAGATCAATGCTTAGGCTTGGGAACCAGTTTGGTCTGATCAACCTTCCTGATTTATACTTTGGCTTGTCTCCAAACACTTGAGTAATGTGAGAGAAGCCCACAGGCATAATGCCTCACCTGGGCTTGGAGCCCCTTCGTGTAGCCAGTCTGTACTGGACAGCACCATGAAGCCCAGACCTCAGCCCCAGCCCCAGTAGCAGGGCCCCAAAGAGGCAGGATCCTCTCTCTTCCCAGCTGCTATAAGATTCCCCAGGGACCAGGCACAGTATTCCCAAGGGTGATGCCCAGAGAACTGGAGGCAGATGGGAAACAGACTGGCTCCCTTAATGACCACAAGCTGTAGTGCCAGCTGTGCTTGAGCACAGAAAGAGAGAGGAGCTAGAGGCCAGGAGGCAGATAGCTCCCTCTTCCCCTGCCCAAGGCAGGAGAGTGTGACAAAAGGACACTGACCCTGGGCACCAGTCTGACCTGGTGCGAGTGGGGAACTTCCACTGGGCCACACCATATTCCTCCAAGGAGCTGGGAGGGCAATGGAGCTGGTCAGGGCCCTGCAGACCTCTCTGCAGCAACTGGGGAGAGCCCAAGGGAAGCAGGGAGCAGCTGGGCCCAGGCCCCTCTTGCTTCAGGGCAGAGGGACCCATGGAGAAGGGATGGGAACAGAGCTAAAATTAGATTCACCAATGAAGCTCATGGGAGGTCAAATTTTGCCATAACTCACTCTCTCCTCTGTAACTGACGTGGGGCTGGAGTGGAGGAGGAGGAGGAGGAGGAAAATCCAATGTGTTCGCTGGAAGCCCTCAGGGCCCCCAGTGCTGGAGGTGTACATCAGGTTGCTGGATTCTCATTTATCAGCCTTAAGAGGGATGGAGTGATAAATGCATAACCGTCCCTTTAATATTTTATGCAGGTGCTAACGCGGCTTGGCTGTCACCTTCAATGTATCACCCGAGGCCGAGAGCCCCCCTCGTCACTCCTAGCTTGCAGCCTCACAATTCCATTTCCCCACCCAAATACTTCCATTTTAATATGCACATCACAGGCAGGCAGCACAGTCACAAAGGCGCCCTGCCAGCAGCAGTTCCCATGTGGTGGAATGGATGACCGGCCACCAGCCCCGGCCTCTTGGCTCCCAACAGATGGATACCCCATATAGGCCTGGACACCAGAGTGCCACTGACTAGGTGTCAGCTGCCTGTACCTCGAAAACCACCTTCCAGAAGAGTGGTGGCCCGTATCCGTTTCTGCCCGCACCACTCATACTCCTCAAAGCGGTTGCTGTTCTCATGCTCGATGTCCACGGCATCATCCTCAGCCATGCAGGAGCCTTCCCTCTGTGAAGAGCAGAGCAGGATCATGCGGGTCCCAGGCCATTCCTATCCACCCCCCCACCTCCCACCCCCTACAAGCCTGCAAGGAAGGCATAACCCTGGCGCCCAGCTGTGGTATGTCAACCTCAGCTCTAGGTTCCTGTGAAGTAAACCAATCTAGAGGTCAAAGACCTGGGCCTCCTCCCGATCATTTTCCACTGGCACCCCAGGGGAGGAGTGGGAGAGAGAAAGCAAAGGAAGAGAGCGAAGAATAGAGTGGAAGAAGCTGCTGAGACCACATGGAGACCCCAACAGCCCATAGACCTGGGGGCAGTCAGCAGCTAGTGTCAGGGGAAGGGTGGAAGGGTGGGGTGGGGTAGGTGGTGATGGCCCCTCTACCTTAGAAAGGCAATGCTCCACATGCCTACTCATCTCCTGCTCCGATCCTGCCAGGGGCCGGTTGCACAGGGGACATACCTGCCCTTCATCTTGCTTCCTCCGTTTCATTTTCCCAATCCGAGCTGCATGGAGAAACCGAAAACAAAGCACAGAACAGGCACATGGTTACTGTAGCGCCCAAGGTCCCAGTGGAGCTGATATATCCTGACCTCCTGCCAGCCATTAGCCCCTTTGTTCAGTGCCTGATCTGGCCCTCATTATTCAGCACCTTCTTCTCCCTTGGGGACTGGGACTTGCCAAGAGCACCTGGGGAGGAGAATGGAGTTTGGCCAGTGAACTGTCTACTCACCTTGGTTGGCTCAAGCTCAATTCATACCTCCCTACCTGCAGAGTTCAAGAAGTCCAATGAGCAAAAACACTCTATGTTGCTAGGTATTTCCCCAGAAGACCAAGATCATGGGCTTTTCTGGTGTCAAGATATACAACTTTAGAGAACATCTGGCTAGAACTCAAGGTCCTTCTGAGGGCCTAATGTAGCCTGTTTTTAACTCATCAGATTAAACCCACTTTGTTCCTGGGCCAAGAGTCCTTAAGTGTCTTACCTAGAATCATCCCAGGAAGTTATTTCTCTTACGTTCGTTGGTCCCATTTTACGGAAGAAGAGAACGAGGCATAGTCATAAAGATACAGAGAATCTGAGTCAGAAGGCCCATAGGACCTTGAGAAGGCAGCCCTTACTGTGCCTATCCAAACCTGTTCCATCATTTCTAATCAGTGCAGAGGGGCTGGCAAGCCCCTGAGGCAGAGGGCTGCCTGCCATGTTGTCCCGCAGGGGGCTCAATTCCAAAGTGCACACTGCAAGCCCACAGCACTGCTAATTAATGCTGAGATATGCAATCATTTCTAATTAGCTCACTAATCCCTCTCTGCAGCCCTCCTGTCACAGAAGCAGGAAGGGGTCAAAACCAGGGACTTTCCCCTCTAGCCCCTCCCTGGATGCCACCGTAGAAGCAGAGGTAACCACTCTGAGATCAGATGGATTGGGGTGAGGGGAAGGAGGAGGTAGTCAAGGAGGGAAAGGTTCCCCACCGAAAGGCCAGGAAGAACTTTCTCATGGACACTGATCCTGGGGAGAAGCTCATGAATGCAGTTTATGGAGGGGGGCACAGTTGAGAAGTGACACAGGTGAGAATTAACATGTTACAATTTAAAACTTTAGCTGTGTTAGGTTCAGAGCCAAATACCTTACACAAGGTAGATCATTTAATTCTATATCCTGAAGGTAGGGTGCATTAATGAAGGTAGTGTTTTTGCTCATTTTAACAGATCAAGAAATTCAAGACTCAGAGATCAAGGAACTCTTAAAGTAGTGAAAAAGGGGCAAAGGAATGATAAGAAACCATAGCCTAGAATGCTCTCCTGTCCTAAGAGTCCCCTTGACTGATCAGCATCAATAAAGATTGATCCTGTGAGTGTGCTAGGACAGTAAGAATATATGCTTGGGGCCGAGCTCCTGCTTGTTGAAGGTCTGAGGCAGGGAGTTATTCCAACTCCAAAACACAGTAGTCCTAGAAAGACCAAAATCAATAGGAAAGTCACTATCACATCAGGACTGAGCATGGAGTTCAGAAACCTTGGTCTGTAGCCTGGCCCATCTCTTCAATTTCCTGTGCTTTTGCTATAGATGTGATCATGTTGTGGTGCCCCACTTGATTTTGTGGCCAAAGATCTAGATTTCTTTGCCTTGACTGCCCTAACCCTTGGAATCTCAGGGTAAAGCCACCTTGACACTCTGGAGCAGCAATTTTCAACCAGTGTGCTGCAAGAATTTTTAAAACATGTAATACCTTACTATTTAGTCAGGGGTACTGACCTCTTTTCTCCTAGGTTGTTAAATAAAAAAATAACCACAGTCAACACAACAATGGCCGTCAGTGTGAATGAATCAAAATTAAACCTATTTTTTTGTCAGCTTGGCAAAAAAATATGTTTTTTTGTGCCACAGAATTTTAGTAATTAGTTTATGTGTGCCATGAGATGAAAAAGGTTGAAAATCGCTGCTGTAGATCCAGGGCTGGGCTGGAAAAGGGATGCTAGATATCAGAGAGGCATGGAGTAAGGGACTCAGAGTGCTAGAAGCCTGAATGAAGCAGTGTGAGAATATAAAGGTCCTTCACCTAGAGCCCTGGGAATGCCTAGAGCCCAAGAGAGTGTTTCTCTAGTAAGAATGGGACTATGATAAACACTGTTTGATGACTGAATAAAGAAATGAATCTCACAGAATTGCCAAAGAGGGCACGATACTGGATACTTTCCTTGCCCAGGCCACCCAGACTAGAAGATTCCTTGTAGTCCCAGGAAAGCACCTTGATGTTAAGATTAAACATCACCTGGAAATTCTCAGGTAAACAAGGTAGATTTGGTTATTTCTTGCCAAAATAACCAAAGTGTGGTAGGGAAAGTTTTGCTCCCTACTCAGAAGTGATCTCTGAGCAGGTAAAGTCAAAGGATTTGCCACGGAGGAAGCATGGCATGGCTGGAGAAGCCCAGGCTTTGGATTTAAACAAACTTCAGTTTAAATCATGGCTCAGTTACATCCCAGCTGAGTCATTTTAAACAAATCAGTGTCACCTCTGCCAGCCTCAGTTTCCTTATCTACAAAACGTGTGTTAACACTTTCCTCTTAGAGGTGTTACAATGATGCTTAACATGGTGCCAGCCCATAATGAATGCTTCTCCTTTCCCAGAATGAGGCTCAGCCTGGCAGCAGAAACTAAGTGGCAGGAGTTGGGGATCATTTACCAGCCGGCCCAGAGACCCTAAGCCCCTTACAGTAAACCCCCAGACATACCACACCCTAGTCAGTACAAAAAGCCAGGATCATTCAATTGTGTTCAGCAAACAGGAATGCTCCAGAGGTTTGAATCCAAAAGGGGGGGGGGGGCTGCCAGGTAGTGCATACAGGGTGCGCTTTCAGAGAAGGCCTCTAAGAACTGTCGAGCCCACGCTGATCACCTTTGTGAAATGTGGGCCGACTGATAACTCAAAGAGCCCTGGGATGAGTTAGTTCCTGTTGCCGTGGGAACTCCAGATCTCACTGCATTGTCAAGTCTCAGCAGAGAGGCTGTATTCACACTACTGGGCACTGATTAAAAACTGGAAGAAAAACATTCTCAGCGCCCTGCCGGCTTGTACAGTGAGGTCCCAGCAGTTTGCAAATTCAAAGCTGAGCTCCCGAGTGGAATTGTGTAGCTTGTTCCTCATTCTCTGGCACTTATTGTCCCCCAGGGTTCTTCAAGGCCTTTAGAGAGGCTTGGGCAAAAGTTGGGATCCATAACCTCCATTAGACAGACGGGGAAACTGAGGGCGGCCACCCTGGTTGGCACATACTCAGGCACTGTGGTTGCTACGAAGCCAACGGGCCCTAATGTGCAAAAGACTCAGGCAAAGTCAGGAGCTGCAGGCAGCGAGGGAGGGAGGAGGCCGGGGGACAAT